GGTCAGTGAATGAACCCTAGATTGTCCAAACAGACCCTGTATCTTTATATTGGTTTGGTTTATTTCGTAAGTGAGCATTAATTTTTAAATAGTAAAATCTCTTGACAGCTAGCAAGACAAATCCACTATGAACACAGTCAATTGTGAGAATTATATACAATGACAGCTTTTAAGTTTGGCAAATCAAGGAAAACTTATTTTATCATCACTAATATCATATCTCCAAATAGTTTAATGTAATTGGATTATAACTGTGTTCAGTATTATCAGATACATTTCATTAGTAAACATATTAACTTACTGTAATAATGAGAACACTAAGGTTTTTACGTAGCACTATTTTTAACTCTTCGTGGGAAATATTTGTAATCTCGTGCCAGAAAATTCAATATGTTTAACATGTAGCATATATATATATATATATAGGAAGGAGTTATTCCTCTTTTAACATACATCAAATATTGGTAATTATATATGTAGAGAGGGAAAGATAGTGAGGATGAGAGACAGCTAGAATAACATATTCTCATTCATTCTGTGTCCGTTAAGCAACAACATGCAGTTTCTATAAGATTTAATACACTTTAATAAAGAGTAAGTGCTTACAATGTTCACAGTGACAACAGTGTAGAAATGAGTTAAACTCAAAGAGTGAATAGCATCGAAATTAGCTTGTTAAATACATGCGTAGTTGAAAAACGTTTAATAGTATTTCAGGTAGGTATCGTGAGAGAAAGCCAAATTAAGGCTTTTATCTAAGCAATGAATGGAAATGGGGGGATGTAAAAGAGCAGCTGGTTCCTGTTTACTTTCAAAGAACCAAAACCTTAATGTACAGAACATAACGTACTCTCATACTTCACGCCAGAAACATCAAGTGGGTTTTATAGATACAATTTGAATCAGTAGTACGATCTATATACGAATTAGCTCGAAATATTTTCAACACACGAAGAAGTGAAATTATCAATCAGTAATTATCAGTTGTAATTATCAATCGGTAATATTTAAAAATACAGTAAATATCTCTTTTTTAAGGTTTTTGTTATTATTATTATTTATTAATTAAACAAAAATAACCTTCGTATGAATTTGAAAATATTTTATTGTTTTCCATAGTGAATTAAACTACTATATACACTAAACTACTATGTATATTATACTATTATATACATTAAACTAATATATATATTATACTATTATATACGTTAAACTACTATATACATTAAAATACTATAAATATATATTATGCTATTATATATACATTAAACTACTATATATA